TACTAATTCCATCAAATCAAGGTTAGATCCACCACTTACCTCGCTCCTCTACCAAATCAAAGTTCAATCGGGACCTTTCCTCTAAAATTTGCCCCAAACCTATCAAATTTAACCCAAAACTGACTTAATATCATTAAATAATGCTAGAGAAATCAATTATAATAAATAATGCAAAGATCTTTACACTTTTTCAAAAACGTCAACTAAAGTCAACCCCGGGCTTGCTTGGTCAAAACTCGATATTCGTACCAAAACCCAATTACCCACCCCTGAGCCCGATTATGTGATTAGTTTCGAAATTTGACCTCAATTTGAGGTCTAAATCTCATTTTTACAAAAACTCTCAATTCTACCGAAATTCCTAATTTTCTACCATGAAAGAGCATAGATTAAATGTTAGAAATCAATGGGTTTTGATGGAAATGGAAGAAAACGAGTTAAAATATACTAACCTATGAAGTGGGGATGAAATTTCTCTTCAAAATTTCCTTTAGGCCGAGCTCTAATGTGAAGATGGTGAAAAATAAAGAAAATTCCGTCTTGGGATATTTTAAATCATTGGTGTCAGGTTTTTACCACGTTCGTGAAGGACCTGACGCTATTGTGAAGCACATCGACCCAATTGGCCCATGCATTCACACGAGATTCTCTTCGCGTTCCCGATGGATCTTCCCCCTGGACATCGCGTTCACAACCCTTTGATCGTGTTCGCGTAGAACACCTAGTTGCTCCCCTCCCAGATCCCCTTACTAATCGCGTTCGCGAGTGAAGATCTGCGTTTGTGAAGGGTTACTGCCAAATGCTCTGCATTCGCGAGCCCTTCTCCACGTTCACGAATAAAAATCCTCCCAGTCCCCAGTTACCCTTTGTGATTGCGAGAATTGCTTCGCGATCACGAAAAGGATACACCAGTATTAGCAGCAGTGAAAATCGGTTCTCCTTCAAGTCCAAAATGGTCAATAGCCAATCCAAAATTCACCTGAGCCCCTCAGGCTCCAAACCAAACATGCACATAAGTGTAATAACAACATGTGAACTTGCTCGCCGATTAAAACATCAAAATAACACCTAGAAGTATGAATTGAAAATCAAAATGAATGAAATTTTCAAGAAACTTAAGTACTTCCAAATTTACAATCGGATGTTTGAATTATGTCAAATCAAATCCTTTTAGTACCAAATTTTGCAGTCAAGTCAAAAATAGTGAAATTAACCTATATCAAGTTTCGGAACAGAAATCTGAACTCGGTAGCAACAAAGTCAACCTACGATCAAAACTAACAATTCTTTGAACCTTTAAATTACTAATTTTCAACAAATACATTAAATCAAGTTAGGGACTCCATTATTCAATTTCAGGCATATCCCAAGTCCAAAATCATGATACAGACCCACCAGGATCGCCAAAATACTGATCCGAGTCCGTTTACACAAATATTGACCGTAGTCAACTCAAGTCATTTTAAAGACAAAAAATCATATTTTCTTCAATTTACACATAAAATTTTTCGGAAAAAGACTCGGACTGCACACGCAAGTTGAGTCTAAACAGAGCTATTCGAGGTCTAGGAACACAAAAATAGAGGCTAAATCTCAAGATGACATGTTGAGTCATCATAGACCGTGTGAGTTTAAGACGTGTTTGGGATTTGTTTGAACTCATTCCAGGTTGCTGGTGTGTTGGCGCCTTAGGTATTGCATATGCGAGCACCAACATCGTAGTTTCAAAGTTGACAGGGATGTCACTACAAAAAATTCCCACCATAGGATATCGTGATGACACCTAGTCTCTAGGACTAGGACAACCTAGTATTCAAGAGAATATGACAAAAATAAGGACTGAAAAAATGATATAAACTGATGTCTCATATAAATCTTAATACTGAATCAAAGCTACAATACTCCAAAAACCTGGTGAAACCAAGTCATAAGCTCTACAAAAATGTGCTAAAATCTCAAATTTATCACTGCCTGAATAGAGGATAAACAACAATAAGAGAATGGCAGAAGGTGACTCCGAGGCCTACGAACATCAAGTAGGTATACCTTGAAGACTTTGGAAATATCTGGATGATATGTGGCATCTGGCACGGGCAAATGCACCTGGATCTACATAAAAATATGCAGAAGCATAGTATAAGTACACCACAATGATACCCAATAAGTATCAAGCCTAACCTCAGTAGAGTAGTGACGAGGCCAGGTCAATACACCTATTAGGATAGGAAAACTGGACAACATATAGCATAGTCTAATAATGGAAAGCAGGGAAGTAAATAACAAATAAGCAGTTCAATAATCTAAGCTAACAACGGAAATTTAAGTGGTAAAGGTAATAAGTAGAGAACACATAATGAAACAAGAAGTAGTCAACATGGACAACTACAAATAAGACAATGAGGAAATAGCAAGAGTTGTTCAACCAACAAACCTCTTTTACCATGGAATGTACAACAAGTATCACAACCAAGGTACCACGTCTCATATTCACATTTTACAATTTCAATCACAATCTTTCTTTATATCACTGCGTGGGCCTTGTATTTATTTTTAAAAACATTTTCCTGAAATAGCTACATGCATTATAGTCCACTTATCTCACCGCGTGGCTACAAGTAATTCCCTTACTAGTAACACGCATATAAATACCACCTTATCTCACCGCATCTGTATCAACCTGATCCATTCCCAATCCACACTCAAGAATGAGTGGAAGAGGTCATAGAAGAATAGTACCCAACTATGAGTCGGGGACAATTTTCTTAGGGAGCTAAATGTGGGTGTTAGAGTGTACACTTGATGACTGATGTGTCGGAGAATTTAGGCACATTTAATACAAATTGCTTAGATTTTAGCTTGTTTTAAATGCAATTATCTTTTATACTTGTGTAATTTTAGTGTTTTTGCAGTGTATAAGGTTTAAGGACTTAAGATCATGGAAATGAAATCAAAAAGCCAAAAAAATACAAGAAAAGAGCAAAATGCATCGCAAATGTGGAATTGCGGACTGCAAATCCAACATGCGGGCCGCATAATGCTCAATGGAATCGCAAACCACAACAGTTTGTTGGCCAAAGTCCAATGCAAGAAATGCGGTACAGTATGCGATCGCATAACAGGTTTGCGGGCCGCATAATGGACCACAAACTCGTTATGAAAGTTGCTGAAGGTGGAAAATGCGATGCGAAATGCGACCGCATAACTACAATGTGGACCGCAGAACGTGGATGCGATGAAGGCCTGGAAACTAGGGTTTGAAGATGCGATGGCCATGGCGAAAATGCAGAGCGCATGTCTATTATGCTGCAGATAAGCGGTCGCATAACTGACCGGAAAGGGTATTTTTGTCCGATTTTTGTCCCGAGTTTTGACCCACGATAAATAGATTTATTGGGGTTTTGTGGGGGCAGCTTGTCTTGTTTTTGAGCTACATTCCAAGTCTTTAATATTCCTCTCTTTTGGAAGCTTTTGAAGGAAGAATATTGTACTTTGTAAGCTTTATGACATTAAATATTCTCATCCTTTAGTATTTTAGTATTGTGTAGCTAACTTTAAATACTAAGGTTGTGGACCCTAAATAGGTATTATGTTAATGGGTGTTTAATATTAAATATATGTATAATCGTTGGTTGATATATATTTATTTCTCATTCTTTATTTATTGTTGGTGGTTGCAAACATTAACAAGTGCCATTAAATTCTTTCTTTACTTGGAAAAGTGAGTTAGGATTTGGTAGAAGTAAATATCAAAGACTCAAGGCTTTAAACCTTGTTTAATAGAATCGTTTAGGAATAAGTGGGTTTTATTTGGCATATATTGATTGTTCTTAATTACAACTCTTTTATATTTGAAAAAATCATAAAGAGGAAATACTACCCAACTATTGAAAAATATTGGGTAGTCATTTGAAAATCACTTGCATATCTAAAGAACCTTCCATTAGAAATATATCATATTAACACTGATAGCATTACACTTCATTGAAGGGGATACAACCTTGGTTTCCTTAATCAAATTATTTACATTCTCAACATTACAATTAGTTATTTCTTCAAACCAAAATCATATCATACTCTTGTTACAATTAATTGAATAGAATTGCGACTTAAGTCAAGTAACACACTACTCGAGTAACCTTTTCACGCCTATTCCCTGTGGGATTCGACCACAACCTTGTTGGGTTATTATATTTGACACCGACCACATTATACTATTTAATTAAAGTGTAATTTGAGCGTATCAAATTTTGGCGCCGTTGCCGGGGAATTCGGTTTTGAAATTACTAATTAGTGTATGCGTTTCTTTACGTCTTATTCTATTCCATAACACTTTGCTTGTTTTGCTTGGTGTTGATAGGAAAACATGGCCGAATATGAAGAAGAAATGGAGGCAAAAATGGAAGAAAATCCTTTTGCGGACATAGATGAGTACATCGAGGATACAAATGCTATTGTACCTCCGGTTATTGGTGCTGCAACTTTCAAGGTGGAACATGGTTTAATCCTTATGCTCAAAGCGGAGGGATTTTTTAGGAATTCCACTGATGATGATCCGATACAACATCTTAGAACTTCTTGGGTATGTGTGCAATGCACAAGCAGAACAATGTCTCTGATGATGACCTAAGGTTGAGGGTGTTCAAGTACTCACTAGTTGGGGATGCAAGGAAGTGGCTTCAAAATATGACACCAAACTCCATTCATTCTTGGCCCGAACTTGTCCGAGCATTCCTAGCTAAATGGTTCCCACAAAGTAAGAAGTCTGAGCTCCGAGATAAACTCTTCTTTTTCAAGCAAGTACCGGGAGAGCATCTACATGAGGCGTGGGATCGATTCAAGATATATTTGGTAATGTCTCCCAACCATGGTTTTCTGGATTCAATCTTGTTGGAAAAATTCTACATGGATTTGGATCCTATGAACTAGTCATAGCCAAGAATGCAGCTGATGTATCTTTCATGGACAAATCATTCGCAAGGGTCACACAAATACTTGACAAAATGGCAAAGCATAATCAAGCATGGCACTCAGAGGACACCACGGGTGGAATTGCATATAGATCTACTTCCTTGAACACCATGATCGAGGAAAACCAAGAGAGAGATCAAGTGATTGCAGGGCTTGCCACAAATGTCAATGTGTTGACAAAGATGTTCACAAAAAGCCAAACGAAGAAAGTAAATGTGGTAAAGGATGTGCAACCCATACCAAATGAAGACTTTGAGGAGGCAAACTATGTCAACAACTCTCAAGGAGGTTATCAAAGGAAACAATACCAAGGTCAAGGACAACAAAATCAATGGAGGCCTCACCCACAAGGGCAAGGCAACCAACATTGGCGAAATGACCAAAACGGCTCAAATCAAGGAAAGTGGAACAACTTCCCAAATCGGAGTTCAAACCCTTATGTTTCTCCAAAGGGTCAATATTCAAATCAATGTTCCTCAAGTGAGTCTAAGTTGGAAGGCATGCTTACACGGGTATTGCAAAATCAAGAGAAGTGCGACACTTCTATGAGGAATATGACCGAGCTTGTTGGTTCTCATACCACATCCATTCAAAAATTGGAGATGCAAATGAGAGACCTCTCTAGGGAACAAAATCCGAAGCAAAAAGGGACAGTTCAGAGTGACACTATTGTGAACCCCAAGGGTAGTGGGAGTGGTCCAATTTCTCATGTCATGGCAGTTACTACTCGGAGTGAAAAGGTACTACAAGGAGAGAGTGAACAACTAGTTGAAGTTGAAGAGTCCGAACATGAAGTTGAGGTTGAAGAGCAAAGTGTTGTTGAAGTTGAAAAGGTTCTTGAAGAGTTGAAAGTGCAAGAAGAAAACCGGGAAGAGGTAAAGGAAAAGGTAAAAGAGACACCAAAGACTCTACCACCTATTCCTAGACCTCCTCCTCCATTCGCTCAAAGACTTGCTAGGAAGGTTGATAATAGCAAAATCGAAAAGTTCTATGACATTCTCAAGCAATTATTGGTGAATATTCCATTTGTGGAAGCATTTCAAGAGATGTCGGGTTTTGCTAAATATTTGAAAGACTTGATTACCAAGAAGAGAACCACCAAAATTAAAGTGGCGAATGTGACTCACCGGATTAGTTCCATCATTGCAACATCTACCGTTCAAAAGAAAGAATACCTGGGAGCTTTCACCATTCCTTGTACTATTGGGGCACATGATTTTGCAAGAGCCCTTTGTGATAATGGGGCTAGCATCAACTTTATGCCTCTTTCCATTTACAAGCAAGCAGGGTTAGGTATGCCAAGGCCCACAAGTATGAGATTGCAAATGGCCGATCGTTCCATAAAGAGACCGGTAGGAATTGTTGATGATGTGCTTGTTAAAGTGGAAAAGTTTCATTTACCCGCCGATTTCGTAATCCTTGATTGTGCGGTTGACAAAGAGATCCCTATCGTTTTGGGGAGACCATTCCTAGCCATATCAAGAGAACTAATGTATTCGAAACGGAATGAGATCAAATTTCGTGTGAATGATGAAGAGGTCACATTCCAAGCAAGCAAGGGTATGAAACTACTACATGAATATGATAGCATCTCGGTGATTGATGTTGTTGATGAAGTGGAAGATGCGGTTGAAATACAGATGGAAGAACAATGCCTTGGTGAGGCGTTGGCGGCTATTTTGGTGAACTTTGATGGTGAAGATATGGAAGGATATATGGAATCGGTAAATGCACTGGAGGGGCTTGGGTCCTACACTTATGCTCCGGCAAAGCTCTCTCTCAACTTGGAGAATTGAGCCACTTCTCCCGCAAAGCCTTCTTTTATTTAGCCACCACAACTAGAGCTCAAACCACTTCCACCACACTTGAGGTATAAATTTCTTGGCTCAAATGATACTTTAAAGGTAATAGTTTCTTCTTTGTTAAATGGTGTGCAGGTAGAACAATTGTTGGAAGTCTTGAAAGAGCATAGTCAAGCTATTGAATGGACAATTGCGGACATCCGAGGGATTCCCGCCAGAATTTGCGAACACAAGATCCAATTGGAGAGTGAGACAAAACCAAGTGTGGAACATCAACGACGGTTGAACTCGTCCATGAAAGAGGTGTCGCGCCCCTTTTTCTCCCGAAATGGGTTTTATGACATTTGGTATGAGACAACTCGTTCCTTTTGGGAACTGGGTTTGCATTTGATGAGTCGCCACCTAATGATTTAGGGTGCATTAGGACACCTATAGGGTTCAATTCTAAGTTATTTGAACAACTAGAGATAGGGTAAGGGCTTGAAATTATCCTAAGGGGAAGGTTTTAGGCACCCCTCAGGATTCACTACTGTGGTTCTCGGCTAGACAGTTGATTGTGAATTTGTGAAATTTAGCAAATAGACAAGTATTGGCTCAAATATTAGGGGATGTAAATTTAAACACATAAGAGAAAGAACAATTAAAGGAGGTTTTTGAAATGAAGTTTGCAAATAAAGGGAAAGGGGTCCTAGGTTGATATTTAATATGGATCACATCAATGTGATACCCGGTATGACACTTATCAAAAGAGGGGATACACGTGGTATTAGCGCACCGGTCATCATATCCATATCTACCCTTCCCGCCCCGTTATGGTATTAAAGTGCGGATTGGTCTCGATCGCTATTGCATGCTATTACCCGTCCTATTCCTATCAGTCCCGGAGGAGTTTAGGACTACTATTCCTAAAGGGGAGGGATATTAGGCTGATTTTGGTTTCAAAAGGTAAAAATCTAAGGCGACATACAAAACATATAATACTGCATGTTGGGGAAAGCATGTAAAAATATAAAGGCTCATGCATACCTCCTCAAACAAAACACATAAATAGCATGACTTGCACATACTTTTAAGGTATGAATAAAATAATAAAGACGAGGGGAGTTAATTATTGAAGAAGATTAGTTTATTACATAACTTAGATAAGAAGTCTGAATCAGGCATGCCTGCTGGTTGTAGCAATTAACAAAAGCGGATTCAATTTTTTATTGGTATCATCACCTAAGGCTTGCCGAAGCGTTTGGGTGAAATGATATCTATTACTGATTCAGAAAGTGGAAAAATAGTAACAGTTTTAAAACAAACGATTGAGATCCTATAGACATGCTTTCTAAACCTCGTTAGATAAAGAAGGAAGGTTGTTTAAAAGTGGTTCAGAATAGACTGAATTTTAAATTGTTTGCAGATCCTATCGGCAGGATGTCTAATATTGCTAATTTTATTTCTATAGACATGATTTCTAAAAGGGGTATTGATTCTTCACCTTATGAACACGATATCTAATTTTAACCATTTAGATCCTAGGAACATGATATCTAAATGTGACCATAATATGCAGAATTTAAGCAAGTCCTATAGGCATACTCTCTAGATGCAGAACATGCAGAAATTTAATGAAAGCAGGTCCTATAAACATGGTATCTAACGTGTAGAATTACAAATGCATAGAATTACAAATGCATAATATAAACAAACGGATCCTATATGCATGATTTCTAATATGCAGAACTCACAACATGTAGAATTTAAATAGCAGATCCTATAGGCATGATTTCTACCCTTAAGCATGCATAATTACCCAACCCTTTTCACTAGCCAACCCCAATGTTTATTACAAATTATTACAGACTGGATAATGGATTACATCAGAAAAGTACAAAAGAAAAGTTACAACTAGAGAAAGCCTGATTCTTGACTTCATCTCAGAGTTATGAAATAAACCACCTCAAATTCCATTGATTCAATGCCTTTCTTAGACCTGGGTGTGTCAGAGTTCCCTAAGGGTTTCAAAAGATCCCGGGCGGTGCGTACACCCAGGTTTATGGAACCATATTGGGATGAGTGCAGTGTGGAAGTGACAGCCCTTATGTGTCCAAGTTCAGAGGGAGCTCATGGGTCCCAAGGCAAGGCTCACACAAGAGGGGCAGAACCTAAGTCTAAGAAGATAGTGAAAGTGCAGGAACAGAGTCTTAAAACTGAGGGGATAAAGAAGAGGGTAAAGGGTGATAGGGAGATAGTAATTAGTAACACACGGAGTTAATAACTTCATACAAAAGGGGGTCAGGGGTTGGAAATCCATTGCAAGGAGCCCATGTACTTAGGCATGGATCAGCTTTGGGCATGCACAGCAGTAGAAGGTGCTGACATGCCTTTAAACCAATCAGAACACACAATATCTAGAGAAGACATGGAGGTTATGATCCCAGGGGGATCAGATTTGGGCCATGCACAACAATGTCCAATGTTGTCATGCCCCAAACCAACCACAGATACTAAAGACATTGGGGATGAGGATTTAAGATTCACAAGTCATAATAAGTAATGGACAGAAGCATTAACTCGGAACAGGAAGGGGCAGATTATAATATGTTTAATAATGAAACTTGGTAAAATACAAACAGGAGACAAACAAGGATGGAAGAGATAGTAAAGAAACATGTTGTTGTTGGTGCAAAAGCGCAATTAGAACATACCAGTAAGATGAAAATGCAGAGAAAAATAAGCAAGCTTCCGACGGCCTAGCCTTGGCTTTCAGCCGGCTAGGTAAGGCAGCAATACAAGTGGCAACGGAGAAAAGAGAGAGATTTTAGTGGAGTGTGTGTTTGAACTCAAGTGTTTTATGCCTTGTGTTCGTGTGTTTGAAAGAAGAGAAGGTGAGTATTTATAGTTTTGAAAGCATGTAAGAAATAAGGCAATAAATGCACATATGAAAGTAATCAGCAATTAGAATCAATCAACCAAGTGATTCCCATTTAATTGAGGAATAACTTTTTTAACGTGGCAAACAGGTTTAAAAGAAGGAAAGAAAATCAGTTTGTAGGCCGACTGGTTATTACTGTAGACATGTGATTTTTGACCCTCCCCAAGATTTTTTATATTTTAGCACGTAAATATTTAATTTAGGCCCAATATAGCTATTTCAACTCCTTTTTACTCTTTTACTTTATTTTACTACAAGGGAATGAAAATTACAAAAAAAAATATTTTTATTTTATGTAACCTTCATTAAGTAAAAAAAAATATACAAAAATAGTACCTTAATTCTATCTTTATATAATCTTGAAAATACAAAAAATATGTAATACTTTCATGTTTTAATATAGTTTAGTTTAATTAATTAGAATTTATTTTTGCATCATGTAGTATAGTTATCTTATATTAAGGGAATTTATCTATGGTTTTAATTAATAATTTTTGGAGTCTTTTTAGCCCAAAATTGAAACACAAAAAAAGACATGGTCCAACCCAATTATCCTTAGCCCATTCTTCCTAGCCCATTAGCCCATTAGCCCATTTAAGTGCAAGACTTAATCCTAGCCTTCTATTTCCTCCTAATCCAATGGTCATCATCCTTTCCCACTTCCATATAAAATACCCAATTATAGAAACCCTACCCTAAGTTTTCAATTCCTAAACCCAAGACTCTTAGAAAAGAAAAATGGCGCAGCTCATTCCATAGAAGAAAAATAATAATCAGACCCAAATTCTCTAACGATATGCGTTGACACGACTGCTTCGAGGTTTCTTTTCCTTCGCGTAAGGATTTCTAAAATGAATCCCTTGGCCAATTGAAATCATGAATGGAAACGCCACTCCTTGCTTCTTCTTCCTCAAGAGACTTTACTTTTTTTATATATAAAACTTCCATAGCCATGTAAGACAAAGCTAAGACCAAAATATTAGAATTCTTCAGTATAATCTAGGATTTTTAAAAGCAAATTGGTTAAAGATGGCACTTGCCAAGGCTAAGGAAATTGTTTATGTTAATCCATGTCGTGGTCTTAACCAAGACGTATTGTCCGTTCTGCGTTAGCGTCAAGGATTTGTTGAGTAAGCTGATCAGCACACTGTTCCAAACGTCTTCATTGGCGAGAAGCATATTGGTGGTTGCGACGTGATTTCGGCTATAGCGGGCATAGGGAATTAAGATTGAGGTCATTTTTGTTTTCAAGTTTTCCAGCGTCGATTCGAGGTTCTGGTTTCAATGTGTAGCTGTTTGTTCATTTCGATATTTGAGTTCCAAAATTTGTAACAACTGATTTTCCATACATTAAATGAAAGCAATTTCAAGATCCTTGAGGTCAATGATGGCAAGGATTCCAACAGTGATCATCCTTTGGTAAGCTTTTCATTGCTTAAGCTGCGAATGTATTAGAGTATTTTCTACTTAATTTGTTAAGTTTGCTTGGTTTAGTGTTTGTTGTGCTGTGGAAATAGGTATCTTAATTATGTTGGCTCATATTGATTTATTGGTATAGAATTTCATTTTGTGCGTTTATTGTTGTCTATGGAAATAGCTCATTAGCTTTTGTTGACTTCATAATTAGTTTGAAAATAAGGAAGATTAATATTGTGATTATTATTATTGAAGCTAGTAGCTGGAAATCGTTGACCAACTATGCCAATACCTTGTTGTGTAGTGTTTAATAAATAGCTTATGGCCCTCTAAAGTTTCATTTGAATTACCTTTAGAAATTAGAAATAGATGTGTGCCGCGCCAAAAAAAATTCCAAATGTGTGTCCCTTGCATAATTGTTTCTTTTAAAGTCCTTAGAATTCGAAGCGTGCCATTTAGCTAATTTTCATGGCTCTCGCAAAGTTGCTAACGCGCATTTCCTTTAGACGCGTCATTTTAATAAAATTACCTTCCTAAATTCGGGTGCGCATTTATGTGACCCAAATCCAAATCTCAACAATGTCAAAATATGTCGAAGACCGCGGGTGCATTTATGTGACATGGTTCAAGACGTGTTTTAACAATGTTGTAATTTTCC